ATTCGCTATAATCCCACGTTTATCCTGTGAACAATCTTCCTCCGTTCATCCCGGCGAAAACCAAGACTGTCGCATATGCTGCTTGTGTTCTTACATATACATACACCGAACATAGTACTAGTTGCCACCACAACTGCCGCATATCCTCGCCAGATTCGGTTGTGGATTTTGATGAAAATCCCTCCACTATCTACCACAATCAGGCAAGTAGTTGCCAAAGACAGCTAGTGAAACACTTTACATGGAAAGACTCTAAAGTCGAGACTTTTGAGTTGCAAAGAAATACGGTACTCGTATACGAACAAGTATGGGGTGCATGTACAGTAATATGGAGTAAGAATATGGAGTAGGTAATAGGCCGTGCATGCACACGTCAATCTGCATCTACAAGGATCTCTGCATGACGCTTCTCTTCTTACCGCCATGTCAAGAGCGAAAGCCACCTGGATAGCTGTTTTTGGCAGCCCGCTCGCCGCATCCAACTTGAAACTAACCCCAAGCGCAGTTGGATGTCAATGCCGACTTCTTCTTTGGCAAAAATTTTCTTTCCCTCTTGCCGGGCAGTATGACTCGTAAGGGGCCTTTGCGCGGTATTTGTATACACACACCTTATTATGGAAGCTCTCTCTCTCTCTCTCTCTCTTCGAGATTAGAGGGCTTCATCCTGAGCTGGCGAATCGGCCATACACTGTTGCAGCAATAGGGCTGGCGTTGCCCCCATCGGTACTCCAAGTGTCTTACATTTCTTTGCAAAAAAAAAACTTCCGTCGGCAAGTCACATCGGCAAATTCGATTTTGCTGCGATAAAATATTACCCGTTAGTAGTAATACTGTATCCAGACAAAGCACGGAGCACACGCTGAATGGGAAAATAGTAGTGAGTTTTGGCGCTCATAATATTGCCGCTCCAGGGAAGTCGCTGGTAACATTAAATTTGCCCGTGTAAGATTGCCACTCGCCTGTGAATGCAGGCCCTATTTCTGAAGGAATAACTCCACCGTCGGAGGGTTTCCCTGTAAGGCGTACTGGGTCTCATACTATACGATCTCGGCTCCCAGAGGCGCAATGCTAGATTGATAACAGCGGCTGCTTCGGGGGACTTCCCATGACTGAGGGCCTTCCCATGAATGGCATTGTACTATAAATGCAAGCTTTGAAAAGCTGGTGTAGTGCCCAAGCATGCAATCAGCGGAAGCAAAACACCTCCTCGTCAGCGAAAAAGCAGAGCTTAGTGAAAGAGAGGCAGCAGAAAGATGAACATGTGCCAGGATTTCAATCGCCGCAAGTCTTCCGCCGCCAGGTCGCAAGCTACTGCTCGGGCCGCTGGCGCATTCGGTTTGCTAACTGCTTGTAAATGCGACGCCATCTCCCCGGTCTCGGTCCATGACCGACGAGTTTTCAAGCGGTGCTATTGCTACTTCCGCCACTACCAATAGGACTCAACAAAACTCTTCTACTTGCTGCTGAGATCTCCGCCGCCCGCGCCGTCCCGTCGTCGTGGTGCTGAGACCCGAACACAGCCAATGAGCCAGGTCCGCCATCAGCGCCTCTTGCGAAGGCGTCAACCGCTGGTGGGCTTTGGAGGCTGTCACGAGGGGAAACAATCCCGCAACAACAACCCATCAGGGTGCATACTATCAGCCACGGCTCACCGATAAGACTCGGCGTCTATCCACTACTGCCTTGTTGCGGCTTGGTGGCGTGTGGCCGCCGTCGATTAGCCCGAGCGTTTAGCATCCACCGTGGGCTTTGTCCGCACGCCGGCCGACACTAGAGGCTTGGATTTCTTCAGTAGTTACTTAATGATGATACAAGGAGAGCGAGAATGAAGGGAGAGACAGGCTTGACAACTTAGCCGTTTCTTCTTTCCCTCATACGCAGGCTATTGGTCAAGTATCAAGAGCTGTCCTGTCAACAAGTGGAGAGCAGCTCTCCTCGGCCGTAAGATTCGGCCGCTACTAGGGTCTAAGCACATTAGTAGTACTATCGACAAGGCCTAAAGCCCGGGAAATGCTCATGTTTTGCTCGACCGAAATAGCGGTGCGAGGCTCCGCCGCGGCGGAATCGCGTCGAGTTCCAGTCCGTGCAGCGGCGGAAGCTTCATTATCCTGGAATACAACCTGGCGCAGAACGAGTGCTTCGTCCAAGTGACATTTGTTTATGCGCGTCATGTACGCCCATCTCCGAGTTCATGCAACAAGGCCAAGAGAAGACAGGCTGGGCGCAGAAACAGACCCGGTGCGTGGATGGAGAGAGAGAGGGTAAACACCGCCGCTGCTATAGAGTTGCGTCCCTCGACGTCAGGGCCCCCAGAAGACTCGGCCCTTGCAACCAGCTGTGCATCCTGGAAAATCCCAGAGACGAGCAGCCGGTGACGCCAGTGATTGGCTCGAGCAGTATTTACACGTACATACAGGCAGTGCTATAGCCGACTTGTACCCCTAGCCAGGTCCCGTGCACGACGGACGAACCCCTTGGGGCTCTTCAATGTCAATCTTTATTGATGGCATGTAGTCACAAGCTTCGGATTGTTCCGCCTATGAAGGACACCGAGTTCTCTCTGTAACAGGTACCTACATGTAATAAATTTCAGTGGACTCTTTCATTTGTTCCATACAGATTCTTTTCAATGGGGCCGGGCTAAGGGAGCCACCAGTTTCCGGCACAGCAAATCTATGCCGGTTGCGGCAAATATCAAAGTGGAAAAGATGACTGCAGATACTTTGTGCCTGTACGTCGATGATGCCATTGATGTCGGCATTACTTGCTGTTTACTTTGGAGTCAGAGGGCCCGTGACCACGACTAGTAATGTGAAACATGCGGCGGCGAAAGTGACGACTCTGAACACGATCGCATGAATTCGTGTAGCCACAAGCATAAGACCCTTTGAGACAATGCGGCGTGGAGAACGCCTAGCTCGAGACGCGATACTGAGTCCCAGGCCGTCGGGCGAGCCGCAAGCTGTCAACGGCCGGGCTCAATTTATTCGTACATACAGCACTATGTCATTGAGGGGCTCTAGAACGCGAAGAAGGGAGCGGTCCGGTGGAATGATTGGGTACCAAGGGGTAGAAGGCCAAGTTCATGGTGATTAACGGTGTCAAAAAAGAAGACTATGTGGGGATGTGCCAAAGCTCGCTCGAAGAATTTTTCTGCTTCTAGCCTTCTATTCTTTTTTTTCTTCGATGCTTGTGAAAGCAAGGGGGGTGGACACATCATATCACGATCATGGTATGTTATGACCTCGTATACTGCTGTCCGTCTGTTTAGGCAGTTGAAGTGCATGTATCTTTGTCTATAATGACCGAATTCGCTGTCAACGCGAGGCGTGACGAAGGAACCTAATGCATTCTGTCCCTAATCTTACATGTACACTAACGTTACGAGCCGTGTGCTGTGGCGCTGCTGAGACATTTGCCGTTCAAGAAAAAAACGTGGAAGAACATCTCCATTTCTCTAGCGGGATGTCAATGAAGCTACTGCGGCCTTGCCGGCGACGTCCATGCGGCGAAGTTCGCTGGTTCCTGCATTTGGAAGGCAGGCTAACACGCACAGACAGTTGTACTGTGTCATGACGCTCTTTGGTGTCTTTTGTCGAAGTTGAGCGTCCCGTCTCTTGGTGTCTCGGAGACGCACGCCCTCTTCTCCACCCCCGGTCAATATGGTACAGTAGTTCCCCGATGCAGTACTTGGAGAGAGAGATATGACCATCCACAGTCGTTCTTTGGCCGGCGATGGAGACTGATATTTCCAGGGATTATGGAGACAGCAACTGCTATATACGGCTATAAAAAAAATTTTTTTTTTGACAGAACACCATCGCGATATACTCGCGAGCGGCTGTGCTTATGGCGCCTCCTTAAGCCAGAGACCCCTGCTTAGGGGACTTGCTCGCCAAGTCGTAGAGATGCCAATCTATGGATACGTACGTATGGACTTGTGACCCTGGGCAAAGGGTAATTTTGCCTTTGTGTTGCTGGTATAAGTATGTACTGCTCATGATACTGTTATTCTTTAATATTACTTGGCAGATACATATTTGCAATAGCCGTCGGGCCTGTGAGCTCCGTAACAAGGCCTGGCAGGGTGGCAGAGTCGAGGCCAGCTGGGAGGGCATTTCGGCATGGCGGAAATTCTCGTTTGGGGCTAAAACCGATGGATAGATTCGAGGCCATTTTCAGCCACTCTTAAGCGCTCCCACCGATTTGGTAGCCTTCATTTTACCAGGGGGTGTGCTTTTACAGTAGAGCGACGGCACCACTCCGTAGTATCGAAACCCACGGTGTTTCCCACTAAGTGGGCTGGCCAGGTTTGACGAAGTCTTCCAGAAAGCTTCCAAGGGACCACCCGTTCTGTGCATGGCGGGTCTTTCTTTTGCCGCCCTTTCGTCTCCCGCTGTTTCGAATGGGCTGCAATATTGGTGACTCGTATTCCAGCCATCCACTCACAATCTCTGCCTAGAAGTTTGCCGAAGAGTCAAGATGGAGACATGCCGATTCACAGCCATGGTCGTGCAGTTGCCAGCTGAGCTGGCTCTGGCATACTTGTGCTATACAGCTATACAAGGACTCAGTAAACGAGTGTAGTCTTGTGCGTGCACAAGATAAGGTAACAAGTAGAGCAGCCGCTCTGGGCTTGGCTCTGCATAGTACATAGAAAGCTTTGGCGCGAGCATGGTTCCCATCCCTCCCCCCAGCTCGACATGCGGCAGCAATGGCACACCATTTTCGAGAGATTTGGAAGCTCCAGAGGCTGCAGCCAGTAAAGGCGAACAAAGCAAGTCATGACACCAAGTTGCGTACCCGCCGTTGATGTCCCAAGGATCCCGCGCTTGCAAGGACTGGACCCATGACTCTGCGCAAATAAAATACGCTGCTGATTGTGCTTGTCTTCAACTTCATCTTCTCGCCTTACCTCTTTGGCTCGTTCTTGGCAAATCGTAGCGCTGTTTTGTCATGGCGGCCTGATGAAAAAGAAGAGTTAAAAAAAGAAAACAGGAAAACAACAAATAAAAAAAGAAACAGTCGTAGATATGGGGCATCACTTGGTCGCCGCGAGACGGACCGGAATGAGTCCAACCAGCGCAAGATGGAGGGCAGAATCTGCCACCAACGACTGAGTAACCAGGCCTGCCAGGTTACCAAGGTCCCAAATTGTGGGCTTCGTCTGCTTGGCTCTCCCAAGAGACCATCCAACCACGTGGGCTCTTTGGGCTTGCCAATGTCAGCAGCAAGTCTTTTGGGATTTTCATCTTTCACCGGTTTCAAATTTTATGCATGTATGTTCTGGTTAGCTAATGCAGCTGCATGGGCCCAGTGTGCCAATGGATGCTGCCCAGTGTCGTACTTGGTGCCGATGCTGGCGATGAGATGATGGAGGAGTGCTGCATGGCTACGAAGCATTGCTGGTAAGGCTTATGACTGTGATGTGACGCCTCCCTCTCAACTACCTACAACAGTATCTGCGCTCATTGGAGTCCAGAGGTCAAAAAAAAAAAAAAATCAACGCAGTCACATAGTGGCGTCCAAAGTGTCTTCTCCTCACTCCGCCATGCGCCCTAGGCTGCAGAAGCTTCAAGTCGGTGCTTGATCTAGCGCGGATTGGCTGAACCTTGGGGATTCCATTACAGGGTATTCCCTACCAGCTTCCACGGATATTTGCCTCCAGAGAGCTGGATCATCGCTAGAATAGGTCGCTGAGAGGGGTCGTCATAATATCGTTGGTTGGTAGCATTCTGTAACGGCCTGTAGCATTCATCCTCGTGTTGTCTCATGACCACCAACGAGCAATCATACCATTGCTACAACCGCTCCCTGCGAATAGCACAGCCCGTGATTTCACCAAGATCCTCGCAAACTCTGGGATATTTCCCGTACCGACGGCGTGGATTGGTCCCATCGGACTTCCCCTGCCAGCCCAGAGAGGGGGTAGCAGCCAGCACTGCTGAATCAAGACATGGAATGGACAAGAGCCCCATGCCGCGCGTTTGAATCGCAGCAACTAGTAAAAGTCCTGCGGACAAAGCGGCACGCATCTCTCTGCTCTGCTCTGCAGGTGCCGCGAGCGATTAAAGCTGAGGCGGCGGTGAAGGCAAACAGGCTGGATGGATGGACAGATGGTGGGAGGGAGCGGATTGAGGGATGCCTCGAGTAATCGACAGCAGCTAAACTGACGGACTGCATCGTAGTGCTGCGGCATTCCGCGTTACTAAGACTTGGAGGGCAAAGACAGCGGCGGACCGTCCCCTCCTCCTCAACTGCTAGTATAGCGGTGCTACCGACCTAGCAGCAGTAGCACAGGCAACTTGACGAGATAGCGAGCAAAAACAAGGCCATGGTGGTAGTGACCTACATATTAAGCCTGCAAGAGCAATGTACGAGTAATACCAACGGGTGCTTCTTAGCTCATTAGAGCCCCAAACGCCACAACACGCTCCAATATACGAAAAATACTGAGCCACGGAGACGCTGCAAAATAGGAGACCAGGGTCTTTATGCAACTATCGAGTCCTGCCGAGTGTCTGAGCGCGCCGGTGACTGGCAGAGACTTCCGCTGCGCAGTCACTCATTATACCTACCTGTACCAAACTAGCAGACCGTGGACTGCCCATTTTCAACCACCCTGCAAATATCCACACACCCCCACTCGCTGAAGCCCTCGTGTAGCACCATATTTGGTGCCTGTGTGAGCAAGGGAGGTACAGACAGTACTAGCGGTAGTCGCAATAACGCTCTCCTCTCATTCTCGGCGTTCAGCAAAGCTCTCTCTTGCACACACCCATCACCGCCAACACACCCCTCCCCCCCGACGTCAGGGCAAAGACCCATGGGCAAACAACTTTTTTGATGGCTCAAGCTCGAGTAACTCAGGCCAGGGTTATAGTGGCCAGAGGGGTGCACGCCTGGGCAATAACCCTCCGGCGGTACTTCACGCCTCGCTGATTCTGGAGGCTTTGAGGGCGGGTCACCTCTACTTTTTACATCGATGCCTGTCATGGGAGTCCCGGAGACCTGGTCAGTCAAAAGCGTCCCTGTTTGACGGCTAGTCATCCTAGGTATAAACGTTGGCGTCCCCCCGCCGCCTGCAAGCTGCTGCATTGGGGACTTCACTCACGACAGCAACTAGTAATACGGCTCTATCAACCTCTCTGGCCTGGCTTCTATCTCTATTCACTTGCCCTCATCCAATCCTTTTCTTTTTTCGCCTTGGTCGACTGCCTTGGGGCGATAACGACATCTCGACTAACGTCCGAGAGGCACTTCCCTCCAATCTTTTTTCCACCCTTCATAATTATCAGCAACCATGTGCAACTACATCTACGTACGACTGCCCGCCTTCTTTTTTTCCTGCCCGATATTATATTCGAATTCGAAGCTGGGATCAATGTGCCAATGCTAACACAGCCTGCCACTTACAGAAAGAGCTCAAGTGCCAGCACCACTACCACCTGGTAGAATCATGGTGCCCTAAATATATTCAGACTGAGCGACGATGCGTTCCCACAATTGTGAGCAAACAGTACTGGTAAGTTTTGGGATAGGATAGCCGATTCAGCATTACAGAGCTAACATGTTATTTGCAGGGGCGACGATATCTGTGGTATGCATTGCGACTAACACCAATACTCTCGTGATTTGACTGGGCACTAACACTACCAACAGCTGCTTGCCGAGAACGCCAGACACCTAGCAACCACCCATGGGCAAAGCTCATCCGCAGGCCAGAATCCCGATCGGTTCCTCAGGCGCGAGTGCCTGCCCAATAAATCATCATCGCATAGAAGCCCAGGACCACAAACACACAACTCAACATATGGATTATACTCTTAGGCGCTGATATGCTCTACCCTCTCCAAGCATATAAAACCTGGAGACAAAAGGCAAACAAACAAAAAAGATATCATTGGATTGGGCATCTTGGCGCCCAAACAGCAATCGGACTTGACGGAATACGGCCACAGGAGGACCTCTGTTTTTACTTATTATTGACTGGATGGAAATGGAAACCAAAAATTGAGGCGCACACGCATACGAAATACATACGCAAACCCTCAAAAATCAACAACCACCAAAAAAAAAAAAAAAAAAAGGCTGCCATAATATGGACACAAGACGGCATGGGACGGGAATGGCTTATACTCTCCCCCAGGTGCAAACCTGGTTCATTAGCTCATTTGTTTTGGAGTTTCACTAAGCAGGCATTCTCCGCTGGGATTTGTGTTTTTACTATTGTTTTTGTTTGTTTCGTCTCTGCTCATTTACACTTGGGACGGTTTCACAGGCGCAAAGTCAGTCATTTTTGTTTAACAACCAGCTGCACTTTGCGCTGCTCTGCACTGCATTAGCCTCTTTTCACAGAAGAGGAGGGAGTTCGTTTTTGGGATTATTGGATATGGAAACAAAGCGCAATTCGAGTTGAGTTGTCTCAGCAGCCGGCCAGACAACAAGCCACGGCAACACAAGGAGGTGGCCATACCTCAGTGACACCACACCGGTATGCAAGAAACAAGAACTGGCCTCTGCTCCGAGCAACACACCGAATATGGCATTTCAATGGTGGCGGCCGAGGCCACCATCATCAATCACGAGGTCTGTCCGCAGGAGGACAGATGCTCTTTGGGAAGGGATTAGAAAAAGGGAACATTCAAAATGTATTGATAGATGGATATCTTTGGAAACATAGGCGGCGTATTTTTTTTTCTTTGCTAGGATCTTTTTTTGCGGGCAGCCCTTCCGGAAAGCTGGGACGGTGGCTGCGCTTAGCATTTTTCGGAGTATCATAGTACCAATAGTCTGTGAAAGCGAATGGGACAAGTCATTTTTTGTTTATTCAGCAACTGGCCTTTTGAGTCGTGAGGCTTTCCAGGGCAACAATAGCAGATGATCAGGCACAAGCACTAAGCCAAAGACCGTGTGTAATCCCGCCGCCACGAATCTCCAAACCCCATGTCTCGCTCTAGCCTGTCCGCCATGGCTGAGACATGCGCCATCTGGGCAGCAAACATTCGGTTCGTTCCCCTGAAAGGTGGCGCGGCCCTCACGTTGTACAAACGCAATCCAGCACATCTAATCTTGTTCAGCTCTTCACCGGCCCCATTGATGCTAAGCCCATTTTTTTATGCCCGGCGTTGTTTTATGTGTGACGCCATGCCGTGGCTGTTTGTTTGCTGTGCTCTGGTGAGGTTTGCTTGGCAAAAATATGCCTACCGTCGCATACATCAAGTTTGCGAAGCTAGTTGCAATATATTCGGTAAATTCGCGCCTCGTCTTGCCTTTTCTTAACTCCGCAACCTCGGTTCAGTTGAACGAAACCAGAAATAGAACTGGAGCTAGAATCAGAGTGGCATTGTTTTCCTTAATCCATACCCTTTTTTGTTTTTGTGGTCACGGGCAAATGCGCATTAGAAAAGCGTCATTTTTTTTTTGTTGCTGGTTGTGAGACTTACGTGTGGTTGGTGAGGTCGTGCACGGATACGATGCGCATTGAGTAATGATGCTGTGGCTTGAGTTTTGGTGCATCTAGACCGTGAGCAAACCGGGCTTCAAGTAACACAACAGCACAGCCAACTGAGTTGGCATACATACGTTACGTTGGTTGATGGAGATCGGAGACTTTCTCCTTGTGAGCTCTCTCGTGCATCTTATTGGACGGCGGTTCCCCAGCGGCCAGTGAAACTTGATCCTGCGTCGTATTGCAGGCCATCAACAGCTAACCCCAGATATTATCGTGCCCCTGATACGACTCTCCTGTCTGCTGTCACATCGCATCAGCACCATCCATCCCTCCTACATGTCACAGAAAGGTGACCTGTCATAACATCTCGCCGGGCTTGTTCTCTCCGCGCGGGCTTTATCTTCGTCCACTTACATAGTATAATGCCATGCAGAAGAGGCCCCCCCTCTTTCAGCGCGGCATCCATCCAATCAGCGCGGTCCTAGATAGGTACCGCTAAGCTTCTGGCTTTGTTGTCTCTTCCGGAGTGACACGAGCTGTTCACATATCAAATTCTGTGTTTGAAAGCAATAATGCATTAATAAGTGGGACAAAGAGAAAATAATTAGAGGTAAATTTAGACTTTGTATAAGTCTAATTGACACAACATGTCTCGATTCTAGTATTGTGTGTACACCTGCACAGGCTGAGTGAGTGAGTGTGGTGGGCAGATGCCATTGCGGAGATAAAACCATCTTGCGGCGAAAGCATGCGATTTTCGCTTACTCACGCGAGCGTGCATGAATACCACCTGTCTTTAGCAAAGCACATTGGAACGCACATTGCATGGATAATCTAATCCCACACACTTTGGATAACTGATACTCGGATGAGCAACGCTTCCGCCCTGCAAACTCTGTCGAGCGAATGCTTCATTATGCGCTTGGCTGTTAGCAGAGAAAACTACGCCTAAATGTCCTTCGGGATGCGTCGGCCAAGGGATGACGCGGAAATAAGAACAGAGGTTTCCCGCGACTAATGGCCGTTAGTACGCATATTTCGTACGAAGCACACGCACGCCAGCTCCCAAGCTGCATAAGTGCCCGTTTCCTAAAATCCTACGTTGGGCAGTCACAGAGCGTTAGTACAAGCAAGTTCCACTTTGTAAGATGTGCGTCTGAATACTCCAGACAAATTAATCGCAGGATAGATTAGCCAATACGTAGAAGTACCAAAAAGGTTAAGAAGAGATTGATTTGGTGTCATTAGGGCTGCGGCAGGATAAAATTGTTGCTGCCTAAGCTTTCCCTCTCTTTCGGATGTCCGTCAGTTCGGTGTTCCCACTACGAAGTACGTATGTGTGGCCCGCAAAGCGTCGTCCTTTTCCACTAGGGGACTAAAACTAACGCAATAGCTATGCATATTTCACGCCTCGTCGGTCAAGGACCGATATTGTGGTGGTGGCGCCAACGCACAGCATCCGTCTATACACCGCAAGCGCCTAGTTGAGGCGACAAGGCTCAGGGGACGCTCAGCCAAGACATGGCCTCGCAGGATTCTTTTCCCAGTAAATCAGGTTACTACTGCACCAGAACGGTAAAGTGCGCGATTACTGCGTACAATACTAGCACTTGGCTCTGCCGTATTAGACTATTTGTATGATATATTTGCATCTATCGCTGTCTTAGCCTGTTAAGGCCAGCAAATTAGTATGTAGAAAACGACTTCGGCAACTCCTTCACGGGCTGTCTCTAGGGTTGATTCCATTCCATTGGCTCTTTCTAAGGCTTAATGTAAACCTATGAGCTTGGTATGCATTCTTCCCCTACAAGGCAGGCCAGCTGGAGTATACGAAGAAATATTAGCATGATCTTCGTAGGGCTTAAACTACTCGTTACGGCTCTCCACACCGATAGGCTCGAGCTTTACGAAACCAAATTCTTTGTCTAAGTTCACAAAATAAATGACTGCATGGTTAAAATTCGCCCGTCATCAATGATAGAATCCGCGAGTCTGTCTGTGGCCCCATGCAATTAAATTCCATGCGAGCAGCACTTCATAAAATCACGGACATCCCACGAGAGTGACACGTCAGTTTGGGGCAAGGAACATCAGATCCCTGCTCAGGTGAAATAGAAACCAGTGAGGCGATGAATAGAGAATCCTAGGCTATTTTGCTCAACCAAATTTGAGACCCCTTCCTTTCCAGGCTACCGGTACAGTTTATCGCTGTTGGCCTTGTCGCCGGAGGTGTTGTGAAAATTCTTCTTCCTTGTGATGTGTACTCTAGCGATTGGTTACCGGGAACCCGGAAATTGGCAGCCCTTATGACTTGAAGAGCAACAGAGAAATCGCAGATTGGTTGTGTCGTGAAATGAGCTGCCCAACAGCTTGTTGTTAGAAGACACTACATGTACAGAATAGCTTGATGCGGGTCGTTTGTGGTCTTGCGTACATGTAGGTCAGAATGTTTCCGATAGTCTGCATGACCCACGGGATATAGCCCAGCCCTATGAGGGGTGCGATTCGAGTCTCCATGGTTCGTAATGGCACGTACATACCGGTCCATGCACGGATATAGGGGGATTTCTTGCCAGAAGCAGCTGATGTGAGCAGTCGGCAACCAAACTAAGTCGCAATCCCTCGACCATTTGAGTTGCCGGTCTCGAATGCAACGTACTGGGCACAATTCCAGGCACCGCCAGGGTCACTACCTGCCCTTTCCTTCATAAGCATCTCCACGGCCAGCCATGACTGCACCTTGGCCCCTGAGATGGGTGTACAAGTGCAGTAGAGTAGCATTTACTGTACATGCGGCTCACCCTTGTTGCATCTTGCAGCCAACGGTGTCTGTGATAGCACCAAGTTGCACGCATATATGCATGCCAGTGCATGTTATATCGGCCGGAAAAGGGGGCACTCGTGGTGATTTCATTTGGCGAGATCTCAGTCCTCATCGAGACCGACAACTCAGCGGAACCATCACCGTTTTCTCTGTTAAAGGGTTGACTTATGGTGCACAGTAGAAGCATCTCAGCTCGAGTATGACATGGGATCCGCTTCCCCGCATAGTGTCCCAAGCATGTGACCAATCTCTGCAATGTTCCTGAGTGGCGATGGACTCAAACTTCCCATTGGCAAATATGGGGGAGCTGCTGATCATCTGGCGATTGGCTTTCGACAGACTCTCCCACTGCTTAACTCGCTGACAGTCTCGACACTAGCGAGCGAAAGGTGCTGACACTAAACGGCTTGCAATACGCTAAACGCTGTCAAAGAATGGAATATGGCGCCACAACTTGGTTTTGCTTCATATCTCGAATGCGACTCGTCACTATTCTTCACAATCCGGAATGACGGGAAACCAAAAGGGGACACACGCCCCATCTCCACAGACGCCATCGCCAGCCAGCTAGTGGGCAGCAGCAGCCATTCCGATTGGCGTGTTCGCAAAAAAACATCGACGGCAGTGCTGTATGCGGGCGAATTCTGTAGCCGACTGGCGCTTTACGCGCTGGGCGACCTTCCTTCATGAAGACAGCTCTTGGCTCGCTAATTCCTGGCGCTTGATGATTTGGACGCAACAGTTGCAGGGCGTTGCAAGGACGCGGCAGATGGCCTCTGCATGCCGACAAGCGAAACGCCGTTGGCCTCTGTTTACATGGCCCCTGGAGAAGTCCCGTGAGCGGACTCTCATGCAAGAATCTGCGAGAGACCCTGGTAGGCCGAATGACCAATAATCTGGAGGGCTTGCGCACAAACGCCTCTGAAGCCGTTGTTCTGTTTGCCGAATGTAACTCTGTCCGTGAAAGAATGTACAATTAGGCGAAGCTGAGTTGGCTGCGGATTTCGCAGCAAAGAAGACTTTACAGTAACAGCATTGTTTCTTTACACGTAGTGTTGTATTTCAACAGGGACGAGGGTATTTTCTCTCACAAGGATTTTCTGCTCTTAGATTGGCTGCAAAGAGTATCATCCTGGCTCTGGGTGTCACCGTCGACGTTACCTTCATCTCTCACAGCGTATCTCGATCTAGAATTGGTG